GAGATCCTCATGTCGAGCTTGGTTGAGAGTTTCACCCCATTGTACTCTGATTTCTTGAATTACTTAGTGGGTCAGTAGTTACCTATATGGATGACCATTCAAGCAAAAATAAAAAATTTCGGTGACATTCGCCATTATTTCTGGGATAATCCCCACCTGTTTTGTTAGGGACGGATGGTGTGATCCATTTATGTGTGATGGAATCAGAGATGCACGACATCCTTTTTCATTGCCACGAGGGTCCGACCGGTGGACATCATGGAGGGAACCACATCGCGAGAAAGGTGCTCCAATCCGACTTCTATTGGACCACTCTCTTCAAGGATGCCAAACACTTCACACGGAGGTGCAATCGTTGCCAACCACCCACAAACGAGTGGTCAAAACGAGTTGACAAATAGAGATCTAAAGAGGATATTGGAAAAGGAGGTGGATCAATCCCGTCAAGATTGGTCCACAAAGCTCGTGCTTCATTATACCACCCTGCGCCAAGTTAGAATTTTCTTTTTTCATTCGTATTAATTGTCGGTTGGAATATTCGGTTATTTTTTGATTATTCGTATTAGTTTGGCTCTAGGACTATTATCATTCATTGTGTCTTGTCTAGGAAATAATAGTTTACTTGTTGTTTTGGGGTTTGGTTTCCTTGTTTTAAGGGGAAAGAGTTTGTAGGGTTAGTCCTATAAATATGTACCTTTGCTCTTCTATTTTCATACAAGTAATAAATTCTAATAAATTAGTAGTAAATTAGCTATATTTTATTGCATTCCTAGTTCGATCGTAGAAGAGTTCTAGTTCCATGAGGCGTGAGATCCTATCATGCGCCAGCTCGATGATGCTTTATTGGCTTACGCACGGCTTACAAGACACTTATTGGTACCTCTCCATATAGGCTTGTTTACGGCAAAATGTGCCATTTGCTGGTAGAGCTGGCTCACAAGTCCTATTGGAAATAAACTACTTAACCTTAATGAATGTGCGCATAGAATAATTAAAATTTGAGGTGCAAGAACTTGATGAATGGCGTCACCATGCATACGAGAGCACACGACTCCATAAGGAGAAGACAAAACCGCCATGATGCAAGATTGAAGAAGCCCAAGAAAAATAAAATAGGTGATCGAGTTCTTCTCTATAACTCTAGCCTAAGATTATTCCCTAAAAGCTCCATCAAGGTGGTATGGTCCTTATATGATCCCTTGACTCGATAATTCCCACAAGCACAAGTTCCAATTTTTATTTGGGAAATAATTCTTTCACAAAACAATTTGAGGGTTCCAAACAACTTGCTCCAAGCATGATTCCTACTCATTATGTTTAGAATTGTTTGATGTCGTGATGGTATGCATCCTAGGGAGGATAATGTAGTGCTACGGAGGATGTTGGTCCATGAGAAATTTTGCATCCAATTCCTCCTTGGTTGGTTGATACTGTTGACCACTATGATTATGACATATGTGTTGGAATCTCTCCACTTTTGGACTGAAAAAAGTTTTTGAAAAAGGTGCTCCATTTTTTAATGTACTTTGAATGAAAAATGAGTGTCTTGTTTGAGTGGCAACCAATCATAGTGTTTAAATTAAGCCATCAAAGGGATTTTCTTTTGAACTGAAGTGTGCTTTTGAGGATATGTTTGGGGAATTTTGATAGATTTATAGCATCCAACCTTCATCTACTACCTTTCATATTCCCTTAAACACCTCTCCCCCTCATGGGACTTAATTAAGAGGAGATATTTTTTTTCCTCTACTCAAGTCAAGATACTTCGACTCTTTGTTTTCTCACTCATCTTTTACTTGACAGAGTGTAGGTTGGGAATTGGTGCTTGAGAGAATTGGATTTACCATCCGAATGCTTCACCTTCCTATATAGATTCATCCTCTCAACCATCACTTTCCCCACATGAGGCTAAGATAGGGAAGTGAATGTTGCTTCTCCTCTATGTCGCGAGATAGAGACCTTGTTTTGCGAAACTGCAGATGTGATGCCATGAGCGGCATTGTGAGTTGAGGCTCAAAAGTTTATGACATCTTAAGTAGGAGCACCATCATCGAGTCCACTGTTTTCAACCCATTTTTTAGATTCCTTTTATGCATATGTCATGTGTCTTGGTTTCACTAATTGGCAAGGTCCCAACTTGAGGTTGTGTTTCACCTTATGGTGGAGGTGAGATTTCTTATCTCCGATTTACATTTGAAAGTTTCTAGTTTACCCACTACCGATGATCTATAATTCTTATCATCATGAATGTCCATCAAGGTGCACCTCTTTGAGCTAGGTTTGCTTTGGGACAAGCAGATGGTTAAGGGTGTGGGATTTTGATTCAAGCCTAATTATACACATTTGTATCATTTTCCTCGTTGTTTGACTTAATATTCATCATCCTTGAGGGCGTTTTACCCTAGGTTGTGCATGTTTGAGTGTACTTCAGGTCTAAGCATGTGAAATTGGCAAAAGGAACGAGAGTTTGACAAAAAGGCGTCAAAACGATACAAAATGGAGGAAAGTGTCAAAGCTCACGGTCCAAAGCAAATGATCACAGCTAGGTAGTGATATTCACACTAAAACTGTGAGGAATACACAAGTTCTAGGAGGCCAGATGCATCTCACGGGAATTTGAAGAAGTGACAATTACACTAAATCGGGTAGAATGCACACTTCCAGATGACCTCTTGCATCTCGCGGGCGCATGCAAACCTCATTTCTCAAAACCGTGAGAATTGCACGTATGTAAGTGTATGGTGCCAATTCAGTCAACCTCATGGTTTGGCTTCAAATCTCACGGTTGTGACCGGTGACCATGAACTTTGCACTTTCAACCTATATAAATTAAAGAAGTAGAAATCAAATTTTGAGAAGAGGAGTAAAGAGTGAGAAAGTGCATTTGTTTTGTTGAGAGAGAAAGTGATGAAGGGGATCCCTATATGGAGAATTATTGTAGCTTCATATCACCACTATAGTTCAAATCCATCGCCAAGGGTTTATGATTGAAGTGCAAGAGCAAGACCCTACTCCTCTAGGATGTTTTCTTCTCTTGATTTGGTGTATTTCTCTCTCTCTCTCTCTCCCCCACCATGAGCTAAGCTTTCTATTACTTTGGTGTTGTGGAATTCTTGTTGTATGTGTTAATTAGATTAATGATTGATTTTCTTTTTATAGACTCTTGATTTTATTTATATATATATATATATGACAAAGGCTAGCGTACGCCCGGACGTACCTTAGCCTACCGTACGCCCGTTGATTTTTGCTATTTAGACAATAAATTAACCGGAGTTTGGGCCATGATACTATACCCTAACTCCTAATGGGTGAACCCTAGTCCGCAATTCACTAACCCAAAGCATAATATTTATTTAATCTTGAAATAAAAATTAACGGTTCTGATTCGTCGAAATTATTGTTGATTTTCATTTTAAGATTAAACGAATCTTATGATTTGGGTTAGAAAACTAGGGACTAGGGTTTATCCATTAGTGGTTAGGGTATAGTATCATGCCCAAAACTCTCATTAATTCATGATCTAAATAGCAAAACTCAAACGGGCGTACGGTAGTCTAACGTACGCCCGAGCGTACGCTAGCCTGAACCATATATATATATATATTACCATATATGGGGAGTTCTACGGTACCCAGGGTGAAATCCGGGGTACCGCATACCTTGAGTAAGAAAACGCTATCCAGAACTTGAATTGACTGATCTTTCGGACATGATACTATACTCTAACCCTTAAAGATCAACATCTAGGTCTTAATTCTCTAAATCTTATACCCCAAGATCAATTTAATTAGAAACAATAATCGACGGTTATGATTTGTCCAAATATAGGCAAAAAATCAATGCATCATCTTAGGGTTTATAGTTTATGATTTAGATAATTAGGACCTAGGGTTCACTCATTAAGGGTTAGGGTATAGTATCATGCCCAAAAATCCTGCTAATTCGAGCTCTAGATAGCGTTTTCATACTCAAAGTATGCGGTACCCCGAATTTCACTTGGGGTACCGTAGAAGGCACCTACCATATATATATATATATATATATATATATATATATATATATATATATATATATATATATGTGGAGGGTATTTCATAAATTGTGTTGGCTATTGATAATCATTCCTATTATAGCTATTAACCTTAGGTAGAAAATGTCCAATTAGGTTCATTAGAGCACTTACCTCATTCTTCATTGTGGGTCGATGGTTCAATCGTGAAATCGGGCTACGTTATCGTATTGGAACATATTCCAGTAGTGAGAATCTATTTGGCACGCCCTAAACGTTCTATTTCGCCATATGTGGAAACTCTCCCTCTATATAGCCCTTTCTAGATGAGTTGAGTAACTCAAATGGGAGCTCAAGCGGTTTTAGGATTCTCCGCGATGTAAATCATGAGTTGACAAACTTGGCACATCATTTCGTTGGTCTATTTTACAACTAGAGTGACACCACACCGGAGTGACTTTCTCACTATAGTTTTAGACCAAGCTTTCTTTGCTTTGTTTTTTAGTTGATTAGTTAATTCAAACTTCGATTTTCTCGATAACAAATTAGTCTGCGAAATAATAATACATTTATAGATAATTAAACTTCACTTTCACCATACTACAAGTCATGAACAAACAAATTACATCTTTTCATACAATCTCATCAATCACGTCAACCAAATATACATCATCTTCAACCGTTTCTTCTTTCGGGCATGATGAAATCAACCTTTTTCCTCCATTAAAACAATGGAGGTGTGTATTTTTTTTTTTTTTTTTGTAGCAAGAAGAGGGACTTTTTTCATTCATTTATTTCACAAAGAAACCACTAATCTCTCCCCGGCGCAAGACCCAAAGGAATGAAGAACAACCCGAATATAAAAAAATAAAAAACTAAGAGCGAATCAAAGGGACAATATGATACCATACGTACCGGCACCATATGTAGACTTCCCACATAGTGAAACACAAATAAATTCAACTCCAATCCCCGACCAATCAATCAATTAATTGGGTCGGCGACAGTTCTTCCTAATCTCCCCTTTCTTCCCAGTCAACGGCTTCAAGTTCCCCATCTTGATCATCGACGCCGCGAAATCCGTCGCGAACTTCTTGGGATTGTTGCTGTACAGCCGCACGAGGCCGTTGCTGGTGGCGCTGGCCGTCCTGCCGAATAGCTGCTGGTCGGAGTGGAGCAGACCTCTCGACTGAATCAGCGCCCTGTAATACTGAGTGTCGAAGCTCGCCGGCGTCTGGTCCAGCGGCTGGGTGTTGTTCCCGGCGGGTCCGTTGGCCCCGGCTGGCGGGCAGGCGCGGCGTAGGGAGGCGGCGAAGGTGGTCTGGATGTTGGTGTCGTTGACGATACGGCTGACGATGTTGGTGCAGCGGGAGACGCCGATGGTGTGGCCGCCGGACAGGGCGACCAGGTCGGTGAGGTTGAGGCCGTGGGAGTTGAAGTTGGAGAGCAGCTGCGAGAAGTTGAAGAAGGGAGGCGGCAGGTTGTTGGTCGCGGCGGACTTGCTCGCCGTTCTCGCATCCCTCCGTCCCAGCATCACGCGGTAGAAGTGCTTTGAACCTCCCAACTGCATGCATAATTAAAACTTATTGGATTTTTGTTTGAGGGGCATATAGATGAACCATATAATTAAGATCCAATCTTTAACATTATCTCATAACAACACAATATTTTATATAATTTAATTCGATAATGACATGTTAGATTCAAACCAGAAGTTCACGTGAGTTTTCAACTTGCAACTTTAAAGTTGAAAATCAGTGATAGAGAACCGCTAAACAGAATCATCGTTCACAAAGTTCTGACTATTTTGAAAAAGAGATGAAAGAGGTAGATTGTGAAGGGTATGATATGAATTGGGGGTGGTACTTACAATGCCGACAGAGTCACGAGCAGCAACAGCCAAAATATCGGCGCATGAGACGACATTGTCCTTGCATACTTTATCAACTTCGGCCTTGATTTTATCAACCACATCAAAACCTCTTACCGAGTTCAAGTTTGGAGGTGCGGTTTTCTCCCCAGTAAAGTTTGCAGTGTCGTCCAGAAGTATCGATCCATCACAGCCCTATAGATACAACCATCATTAGTTACGTTAGATTCATTATTTCAAAATCATCTGGAACAAAATCTTGTAATAATTTGTTTATTATTATTCCATTAATAATGCACGTCGATCCTTAACAAATGCCATAGAATTCCAACTAATTGATTTCACATATCTGTTGGATGAGAACTAGTGTCATAAAAACATATATACAGAGCGAGGTGAAGGCTAGGATATACGAAAGCCCAATTATCTTTTATTAATTCTTGATGAGATCAACAAATTAAACTCACTTAATTGGCAACTCTCACTTACATTGACGAAGCAGTCATGGAAGTGCATCCTGAGCAGCGATGCACCCATTCGAGTCTCGTTCTTGATGGCTTCCTTCACTATCCTTCTAATGGCGGGCATGGCCTTGGGGCATGCTTTCTTGTAGAAATTGGGGCTGAGTTGCGCTTCTGCGGCTGCCATCAACAAAGCAGCGGCAAAACACACCAACAAAGCTCGCAATGCTGCAGCCATGATTAATTACTTGATTGGGAGAGATACCAAAACCTTAAACTATTTTGCTTTCAATGGAAGGGTCGATGAAGACATGAACTTCGACGAGGGCTATTTATAATACTGAAAATCCGAACGAGCAATGATTGATTAGCTGGTATTACGTATTTTAAATTATGCATATGCATTCCCATCTATGATCTATCTGCAGACTGCAGGTAGAATATGTTACAGACGTGTTTTATTGAAGTTTTTTTTTTGGATTGACAGCAATGCAATTAGCATTAATTGCGCCTGATAATCATGATTAAGGGGAAGGGGTTATCCGTTTGGCTGGGACTTGGGAGACGACGACGAGACAGGATCGAGCCGTCCATACGATCCATCTTCATTTTGATTATTATTCTTCTGCGAATAATTACTTACACTTAGGAGATCGCATTGTTCTTAGTTTTATCATGATGACGCGTTTCTTTTGGGACCATGAGTATCTCAATTTGCATGTCAACTCTCGCCTTTCTTGCTGTGTTATAAATTATAGTGCAGCAGGGATTACACCATTACTGGGCAGATTCTTTTGAATAAAGTTAATACTCGGCTCCAAAAAATTGAACCTGTGCAGTGTTATTAGTCCTTGCTATAACAAACAAAACAAATCGGATCAACACGCAGACCAAATCGGCTCAGTCTATTTCGTAAAATACTAATGGGTGGTAGTGGTGATTGTTTGGTTGAAATAGTTTTTTTTTCGTTGAATCAGTTACTTTTATTGCTCATAGAAAGAAACCGATACAACGAGATAGGATCCAATAGATCCTATGCAATACAACTTCCTCTACTATCCCCCACTATTTTTGTTCATCTTATACTACTTACAAGAAAGGGAAAGAAAACAACTAAGAACCAGAATCTGTATCTATAAGTATCCCAGCAGTTCTAGTTCAGCCTGCAATTCCGGTTGACCAGCAACAATAAAATGCAACTCCTCTTGCAACAGATCAGCTAGCCGAGCGGGGGTTTTACAGGTTGAGCCATGTACCACTGCACATCGTTCTTTCCACACGAAAGACAAAAGAATGCACCAAATCATAGCATGCCAATGTCCCATCTTTGAGTCCCTGCTTACTACATTCAAAGCACCACTTAACATTGCATCCCAACTACTATAGTTAAGTAAATCACATCGCATAATAGAGGCAACCTGGCGTATAAACAAGCACTATACAAACAAGTGCTCTCTTGACTCAGCATTCCCTCCACATAAAGGACAGGAGCGTCTGTAATCTTCCCCCACTTCAGTAGCTTGTCTCGAGTAACAATAGAATTCCTGATTATGAGTCAGGTAAGGAAATTATAACGCAAAGGACAAGGCTTACACCATACCAGTTTGTACCATGGGACTTCAGATGCTCGAAGTCGTAGCGTTTCCTAGACTAGTCGCACTGAGTACTTCTTCATCAGCTTTGCCCCCCAGAAAACCTCATTGTTTTGCTTATGCAGCCAAGTCTGAATCAAAGGCCTCAGCTTAAGCAAACGCCGCCAAGTCCAAGAACTACTATATGGAACCCTCATTGTCCACAAATCCCCCTGCTTGCACTTATATGCATACATCCAGGCTACCCAGAGTGTCCCAGAATTCAACAAAAATAACAAGAGTAGCCTAATTGTGCATGCTTGATTCCATCCCAGTAAATCTTTTATCCCCAATCCGCCCTCTTTTTTGGGAAGAGCAATCGAATCCCAAGCAACTTTAGCCTTTCCCTCTTCATTCCCATGCCAAGGAATTGAGAGCAAACCTTCTGAATTCGCTTAAAAATTTTCTTTGGCAACACAAATAATTGCATCCAATATTGAACAATACCAATCAGCACAGAATTTAGCAATTGCAACCGACCTGCATAGGTCAATTTCTTAGCTCTCCAGGATCTCATTCTTTTTGTGATTTTATCCACTAAAACATCAATTTCCTTTGAGGATAATTTGCCAGTTATTAATGGCAAACCCAAGTATCTGACAGGAAGCTTACCTTCCTGGAAACCAGAAAGATGCAGTGCATTATTCTTGTAAAGCACTGAATCTCCACCAAAATAAATCTCACATTTAGCCGGATTACTATTAAGCCTAGACAACTGATAAAACCTATGTAAAACAGCTTTGACTTGCAAGATGGCTTGTGAAGACCCAACCGTAAACACCAAGATATCATCGGCAAAACAGATATGGTTCAAGGAGACCTTACTGCACTGCGGATGAAAAGGAATTGCTCCTGTGCGTCTGCTTTCATTAACAGAGTTGAAAGCCCCTCCATGGCTATAGTGAAAAGGTAAGGTGACAGTGGGTCACCCTGCCTGACCCCCTTTCTTGCTCTAAAGAAGCCACATAGACTGTCATTCACATTAATACTGTAATGTGTTGTTTGAATACAGCTCCTTATCCACTTCATAAACTGGGCAGGGAACCCCATTGAACTCATCATAAGAAATAGATAGGTCCAATTAACCGAGTCAAACGCTTTCATAATATCAACCTTAATAGCACAACATGAGGATAAAGCTTTCCTATGATACCCACTAACCAGCTCTTAAGCCAAAATAATGTTGTCCATTATGTTTCTCCCTTTAATGAATGCAGACTGAGTTCCACTAATGACTTTATGCAACACTTCTCTTATTCTCTTGGCTAATATTTTAGCTACTATCTTATACAGTATATTCACGCAAGATATTGGCCTAAAATTCTTCAAAGTATCAGCATTCTGACAGCAGTGGAATTCACACCACTAGGCATGGTACCTGTGTGGAAGAAGTCCAACACTCCCCTTGTTATGTTAGCTCCTATAATGTGCCAAGTTCGCCTGTAAAACCCCGCAGAAAAGCCATCAGGGCCCTGAGCTTTTTGGGGACTCATAGCAAACACAGCTTGCCTTACTTCTTCAGGTGCAATAGAACGATTTAAAAACAAGCAATTCTCCCCTGACAACTTACGTTGCACTAACTCCTCCACCTCTTCCTTTACTGGCTTGATATCCTGATTTACTTCACCCAATAGCTTTTTGTAGAATGAGATAGCTTCCTCTATTATCTGATCTGACTGTGTCAACTTAGCCCCTGATTCTGTGATTAGTTTCCTAATTGCCCTTTTAGAGCTTCTGATCTTCACAGCTTGATGAAAAAATGCAGAACTCTTCTCTCCCACTGTCAACCAAGAAATTCTGGACTTTTTCCAACAAAAACTTTCATATGCCAAAGCTAGCTGATCCAAATGTTGCTTATTTACCTTAACTGCCTCAAAATGCGATGCAATAGGAGCAGATAAAGCTTGCAATTGTGCCCTTTTGAACTCCTCTTCAGCATCCACAACCTGCTTATGCAACTCCCCATAGACTTCTTTATTGAATCTTTTCAAAGCTTTTTTAACTTCTCGTAGCTTGCCCTGCACTATCTGCAGAGGAGTACCCTCTACTTCTATCCTCCAAGCTGTTTCAACCACTTCCAAAAATAATGGATGTTCAGCCCAAAATTCAAAGTACTTGAATGGTTTTGGAAAAGATTTAACTGGAGCTGCAGTACTGACTTGAACTCCGCAGTGATTAGTAAACCCTGCTGGGAAAACCTCCATTGCACAGTCTTTAAATGATTCTATCCATTTGATGTTGACTAGAGCTTTATCTAGCTTCTTGGCAATAGGATTATTTTGTTGCCTATTGGCCCAAGTAAACTGTGGCCCTGTCGTTCTATAGTCTAGCAGTTCCATTGCTCCAATCCAGTCATTAAAATCTGTCATACTTTGAGTTGCACACTTGAGATTTGATGTTTCACTTGGAACACGCACTGTATTAAAGTCACCCCCCACAACCCATGGATAATCATCTACTTTCAACTTTGCAATATCTCTATAAGTCTCTCTTCGTTCTGCCTCATCATTCGCTGCATAGACTGCTGTCAGAAAGAAACTACTTCTATCCAAATCTTCAACCAAACAATGGATATAATTCTTGCCTGGCTTGAGTACTCTAAGTTTAATAGCAGGATCCCAAAATAACCAAACTCGCCCGAGATTAGAATCAACGAAATTCAGACACTTCTCCCAACCAATAAACACTTCTTCCACTGCCTCTTCAGCCTTCTCTTTCTGTATTCTAGTTTCCAACATAGCTACAACATCTACCCTATTTCTACGAAGGACTTGCAACAAGTCCTTTTGTTTGGAGGTTTTATTAGTACTCTAAGTTCAATAGAAGGATCCCAAAATAACCAAACTCGCCCGAGATTAGAATCAACGAAATTCAGACACTTCTCCCAACCAATAAACACTTCTTCCACTGCCTCTTCAGCCTTCTCTTTCTGTATTCTAGTTTCCAACATAGCTACAACATCTACCCTATTTCTACGAAGGACTTGCAACAAGTCCTTTTGTTTGGAGGCTTTATTAAACCCCCTCACATTCCAGAACAAAACAATCATTTGGAAGAAGAAGAGGGTTTCCCCCCACCCTTCTGAACCTCTTTCTTACCTTCCTTCTTTCTTGGAGCCTCTTGTACTTTAATAGTGTTGGTTTCATCCAATTTACTGAGCACACTGAACGTGGAAGTAGAAATCTGAAGCTTTGGGCTCTGCTGAGGAGACCAAACACGCGATTTAGCCCCATTCATTACCCGCTGAAACTCATCCTCAATGGGCAGTTTTGGAGAAGTGGCCACAGCTTGGAAAGAAATCTCTAAGTTTAGAGGAATTGGAGCATCCACTCTTGGAGTAAACTCTGGAATCATATCACTTAACTGTGGATCTGCATCATATATCACTACTTCCTTACCCTTTCCACTTACCACTGATTGATCCTGCACTGTCTTTGGAGATTCCACCTTATCACTTTGCACCGTTTTAGGAATAGAGATCCCTAAATTGACCTGCTGAGATACTTGCTCTGAGACCACCTTATCATTCTGCACCTTATCACTATGCACCTTCTCAGGAATAGGAACCCACTTTTGACCTTGATGAGTAGCACACTCACCAGTAATGCCAAACATATGACATTTATGACAAATAAGAGGCAAATTGCAATAGGTAATTCCAATTCGCAACGAAGAGTCGTCATCTGGCCAGAGCAACACATGATCAGGACATTCACTCTCAATAGTAAGTTCCACCAGTACCTTTGCGAACCCGTGTCTATCCCCCATCCTTGTAGTGTGATCTACGCCCAATGGAACCCCAATCCAGCTAGCAATACGACTCAAACCTTGATATTCGTTGTATTCCAATGGAACATTAGCAAGATGCACCCAGATTGGTAGAGCCTTCCTCCCCAGATCTTCAAAACTAATTCCCGGAGTCCATGGACGAAGATATAACAGATTATTGAAGTGAAACCACGGGCCATTTTCCAGTATCCATTCACATACCTTCTGGTTTGGTAACTGTATCAGAAACATCCGATCATAAAGCAACGAGACCCGAACCTGGCCATCGCGCCCCCAGAGTTTGTTTGCCCAACGACGAAGCACATACAGCGGGGGCGGATCCTGAAGAAATTGACCTACAAGGCTATTCTTCCATCGAGCCGCTCCAGCATCACGAACAGCTCTGGGCATCTGTAATCCTCCATTAACAATCTCTGGCAGTATGTATGTCAAGCGATTTGCCTCGGAGATACCAAAAAGCGCCGCCCAGGGTTTTGTAGGAATACCCCGATTGTCGCTATTTGGCACCTCCAAAGCTGAAATTGAAACCACTCCACTCACCTCACTCATAAGAAAAGCAAGAGAAGAGGAAGAGAGCTGCTCCGGCGCAAGTGCCGGAGCTGGCAGCGAGTGAAGGATCGGAAAACCTCGCTCACCGGAATCACTCACCTCTCACTACGTTTCTCTCACTACATGGAATAGTTACAATCCATGTATTGTCTATGATGCATCGTTTTTTTATTTATTTAATTTTCTGCACAAAAAATACATGCATTGTTTGCTTGATTCGACACAAACTATCACTCAAAATGAGTGATAGCTAAATCTCAAGTTTTTTGAGAGATTGTTTGATTGAGATTGTTGTGCTTTATTTTCTTCCAACTATGTCCCTACCTTTTTATGTGTATTGCTTTTTTATATTTAAAATAAAGGTTAAAAGTGACATTTCACCCAAAAAATAATATAACTTATTTAAATAACACAATAAATATCACAAAAACCAAACGATGTAAACTACAATACACCAATTTTCGTATATACATGTATATTATTATGCATGCATTGATGACAATGCATATATTTAACTATCACCAAAACCAAACGACCCCTAAGAAACGAAAGCAAAGAAGACGAGTTTAACGTGGTATCCCCGATATACGGGACTAATCCACGGGAGAGCTCTCAAGGATGCTCTAGCTTAAGTTTTATTATTCTTGCTTAACCTTGGTCGGTGGCCATACAGCAGTACTATTTATACCCATGCTCCTTTTCTTCTAGGGAAAGACAATTGGGACAGGAATTAACTTCCTTCGTACATATATGGGCAACATAGACAGTCGGCTTGGCGGCCGACGTGGGTCAACCCACTGAACATGCAGCTTGGAGAGCAAGAAATGGAAACGGTCAGCGCCAAGCCCCTTAGTGAACATATCTGTGAGCTGAAGATGAGAACTGATTTTCAAGGGTGCAATGTCGCCTAACTGAACACGTTCACGAACGAAGTAGCAATCCATCTCCACGTGTTTAGTACGCTCATGAAAGACGGGATTGGCAACTATGTGCAAAGCCTCCTGGTTATCACAGTAGAGGGAAGTCGCCCCAGTCTGAGGGGAACCCAATTCGCAGAGTAGCGAACGCAATCAGAGTATTTCGCTCACAGTACTAGCCATGGCCTTGTATTAGACTTCAGCGAAGGAACGACCAACCACCTGTTGTTTTTTGGTGCGCCAGGAGCCGGGTACACCACCCAGGGTGACCATAAAATCGGTGGTGGAGCGTCTAGTAGACTGGCAACCACCAGTCCACCACAATCAGCATCGCAGTAGCCGACAATATCAAGAGGGCTTCCTGTCTGTAAGAAAAGACCTTGACCGGGAGCATTCTTAAGGTAGCGTAAGATCCATTGAGCAGCATCCATGAGAGCCTGAGTGGGTGAATGAACAAACTGGCTGAGGATGTTAAATCCGTAAGTAATATCTGGTCGTGTAACAGTGAGGTAGAGGAGCCGATCGACTAAACGCAGGTAAGCTGTAAAATCGGGACGATCGACAGGTGCAAGCTGAGTCAGGTGATGATTCTGCTCGACGGGGAAGGCATTGGATTTGCCACCGATGACTCCTGAATGTGCAAGAATGTCGAGCAGATACTTACACTGACTAAGGACCAAGCCATCAAAAGTGCGAGCCACCTCTAAGCCCAGAAAGTAGCGCAGATTTCCCAAGTCCTTGATGCTGAATCGGGAGTGCAGAAAAGCCTTGACATGAGAAATGAACTCGAGACTAGTCCCTGCCAAGATTATGTTGTCGACGTAGATGAGTGTGACAAAGAATGGTCTCCAGGCGATGGCCGAAACTGCAACTCACAAAATGCATGGGTGAATTTGTGATACTATTTGCGGGAAGCCTGAAGAAGACCATAGAGTGACTTATGAAGGCGGCAGACCCGAGTATCGCCGGGTGCCGCAAATCCCTGAGGAATCCGTATATAGACTTCTTCTTCTAAGTCGATCCCCATGCAAAAAAAGCTTTATTGACGTCGAGCTGATGAATATGTCAGTCCTTGATGACTATGACATCAAGAAAAAAGCGAAGAGTAACTAACTTTGCAACAGGTGAAAAAGTATCGTGAAAGTTAACTCCCTCGATCTGAGTATACCCTTTCGCTACCAACCGAGCCTTGTAGCGCTCGATGGTTCTATCTGGATAGAACTTTATTTTGTACACCCAATTGCAGTCAATCACGCGCTTTCCTGGTGGAAGATAAACAAGACTTCACGTTCCATTCTTCTTAAGGTCTAACACTTCGGCAGACATGTTACGCCAACATTCTAGAACAGCTTCGAAGAAATTACGCGGTTCTGAGTGATGAGAAACTGCTGCAAGGAAAGCGCGATAATTATCAGTGAATTTATCATATGAAAGATGAGAAGAGATAGGACAATGAATAAAGTTGGATTGACATCCCGTGTAATATATGTCCAAGTACTTAGGCTGAGTGCGAACTCTATCACTGCGTCGCAGAACAGGTTCTGGTGCTTCAGGAAAAATGCCCGGCGGGAGAGTGGATTGTCCGGAATTGGGCGTCGCATGCGAGTTGGAAACCCGCTGGTTAGGAATCGCAAGCAATGATCATGGTCTTGGGGAACCTGTCAGTTGGGCCTTGGACTCTCGCTGCTGGGTCGAGGAACATGGTGTGCCAGCCGGAGTTTCTAACTCGGGTGGGTTATCGGACCGTGGAGAGCCGGGGAAGGGCTCGTGCAGAGCACGGCTGGGCTGATGTGGTTGCTGGGGAAGACCTCAGGCCGCAAAATTACATCGCCAAAAATCCAAGGAAGCTGCGCCGAGTAGTTGGCCTGAAAAGGGAAAAAAGTCTCATGGAATATGACGTCTTCACTCGTGGTGATGCACCGAGTACGCAGATCATAAACCCTGTAGACATTTTGGCTAGCGGCATAGCCAAGGAAAATGCGTACCTTGCAGTAGACTAGACAACCGAAAACGCGTAAATGAGTGTATGTGGCAGCTTTACCAAAGATTGCCTCGTACGGGGTTCGTTCGGTTGCTTTCGTCGGGAGACGATTAATGAGGTATGCATTTGTAAAAATACATTCGCCCAAAACTTTATGGGCAAAGATGCTTGAAACCGTAGTGCACACGCAATCTCCAACAAGTGTCTATCCTTGCGCTCTACAGCACGGTTTTGCTGTGGTGTGTCAGTACATGATGTTTGAAGGAGAATACCTTTTTCTCATAAAATTCCTTTAAGATTGTAGTATTGAACTCAGGACCATTATCCGTCTGAAGTCGATTCACTTGTTTGCCAAACTGAGTGCGAACAAGATTGCAAAACAACTGCACATATCTACCCACTTCATACTTGAATTTTATAAGATATACCCAAACACCACGACTAAAATCATTCAAAATTGTCATAAAATAATGTGCACCACTAAAAGAAGCTCAAATATCCAAATGCATCAATTCAAAACAAGTAGACGTCCTAATCCCACCGACTGGGAAAGGCGTTAGAACCTGCTTGGCTCTAGAACAAGAATGACAAAGGTCTTTATCCGACGAAGCTACAACAGAAATAATACTACCAAGCTGATCGAGAACTGCAGGTGAGGGGTACCCAAGACGTGTGTGCCACAAAGCCTCAGGAAGTGCATGGTCCTTCAAAACCGCATGCGCATGAGTATTATAACATCCAACGCAGAAAATATAGACCATCACGAATCTCCCCCTTCCCAATCACGTTTCTGGAGTGTAAGTCCTAATGATGCAGAAATCACCAAGGAAAACTAAGGCGACATTGTTCTCCTGACAAAGTCGACTCACTGATAAGAGATTGCAGCGAAATTCCGGAACATGTAAGACGTGACTAAACATCAATCTATCATTCACCCGAATCGACCCTATGCGCTTGACAGGAATACTGGCGTCGTTCGGGATCCGAACAGGCTGACTTGTTGAGCTAGAAGTATGCGAAAACATAAACCCATCATCCATGGCTATATATTCGCTGCTACCCGGAATCAATTAGCCATTCAGGAGCATTAGAGAATGAGAACATATCAGCCATGTGACTAGTCGGATTAGTTGATGCTGAGAATTGGCCACCGATAAACTGTTTTAGTTGCTCCAACTACTGTACTATGAAATCTACATCACGACTAGAGTCAATGTCATAGTGAGCTACCTGAGACGCGCGTGGCTCCCTATTTTGCTCACGTGATTGACCATCATCTCGACCTCCTTCTCCATTGCGACGGGACCTCTCTTTATCTCCTTGGCGATCGCGCAAGGGATCCTAGAGAGGCCAGACATTGAGCTGATAACAAATTTCGCGAAAGTGTCCCAGCTTAAGACAGTAGGTGCAGATGGGCCGCTCTTTCTCGCCTGACCCTATGTCCTTCGACCCGCGACCACCAGAGCCCGGGTTCCCAGCATCTCCATTCACCGCAAAGGCTGCTGCCTCCGACACTGGTTTCTTGTCTGCGTTAGGGTCCGCTACTGCCGATCGTTGTAGACGATGCGGAAAGCTGCAAGCAGATATGGTGGAACGCTCATTGAAAGAATATGGCTCTTAACTGTCGCGTACGATTCGTCCAAGCCTAGTAAGAAATCAAGGAGTCAAAGACTCTCATTCTAATCGAGACTGCGTCGTGCGCAGAAGCAGACTGCGGAGGAAGAATGGCTTGGGTCTCCTCCCAAACCTTTCCTAGGCTGGTGTAGAAACTCGACATGGACTGCTTCTCTTGTTTGAGGAGGCTCACGTGGCGACGAAGTTCATACGCACGCGTCAGGTTAACTTTGCTGAACCGATCACGGAAATCTTCCCAGATTTCTTGTTTCATTTTGGTGTGCATGATGTTGCTTCGCACTGTGTCCAGGCACGAGCCTCCGCCGAGTTATCTTGTGGGCGTGGTATCGACCCGTCAACAAAACCGACCTAGTTCTTTGTAACAAGGGCATCCGTCATCTCTAGGATACATTCACCTTAGTTTGACATAGTAAGCAAACTACTAACATGAAGATGTCATGTGCTATCAGATTGATGGATGAAGAAAGGGCTATGGCTGTCAAGATCTTTGCATGGTTATCCCGACCCAACTGATTTCCCCGTGGGGGGTGTCTCGAGAGATGAATCTTCTCCGGTCATCCTCGATCAACAACGTGAAGCGATGAACTTGATCACAGCTCTGATACCATGTAAAATACTAAGAAACAAAAGCGAAGAAGACGAGTTTAACGTGGTATACTATCCCCGATATACGGGACTAATCCACAGGAGAGCTCCCAAAGCTGCTCCGACTTAAATTTTATTATTCTTGCTTAACCTTGGCCGATGATGGCCATACAGTAGTATTTATACACATGTTCCTTTTCTCCTATGGTAAGACAATTGGGACAGGAATTAACTTCCTTCGTACATATATGGGCGACATGGACAGTGGTCTTGGTGGCCAACGTGGGTCGACCCAATGAACGCTGATCCACTCCCATTATGTTTGGTTGAATAGTTAATGGATGGAGTAAATGGTGTTTAAGTGTTGGCGATAAAGCCAGATGAATCACCTCGATTTGACTGGTCCAATGAATTACTAGTTTAAACATAAAAAGATTTAGAAAATAATTACTTATACTAAGGCCATGCAATCCTAATTTTTTTTCTTCTACTTCCACTCCTTCATTTCCTAACCTCCTTGCCAATTTTTGCCACTGCAGTTGCTATCTAATTATTAATTTGAACTTGATAAACTTTTTGAATGATTTTGTTTTTGAAACAATTATGAATGGTTTGTTAGAAATTTTGGTGATAGATGATACGTATTTGAATTTATTTATTGTTAGTGGGAAACTTAATCATAAATTAGTTATGTAATATATATAGTCTCTATTTGATAGTGTGTGAACAATTGTATCAACGATTAATTAAGGATCATATAATGATTAATCACTAACCATAAACTACTAAATTTTCCATTTCACATTTTTTGGTTTGGCGATGTCGCGCCTTGTCGCGGGGCGTAGATGACATATGGACATGTATTATGTGGCCCGTTATAGTATTTTGTTAGTATTATTAGTTTAAAATTAATTTTTTGTTAGCAGTTTTAGTAATATTGAATGAGAAATATGGCGGTCAACATCCAATTTTTTTATAAAAAAAAAATTTGGCTAATAAATGATATTTAATTAAACTCAAGTAGACCCATTGATTATGGTAGGGTATGGGGGACATATATATGAGTTTAAAAGTTTGTAGATGGGTTTGCGTAGGGTATGGATATTTACTTACATAATCTAAATGTGTATGAGTTGGGTATGACTACCTATTTATTCGAGGGTGTTTTATTTACACATACAAAAATTAGACCTATTTATAGAACTTTAAAAGTTTAGGTACCAAAATGTAATATACAAAAATTATAGGTACTAAAATGTAATGTCTCATCAATATTTTGAGGACTATATGTCAGAAAATAAATTTAGGTATAAATCTAAAGATCTATTATGTTTAGGTACTGAACTGTAATTTGCATAGTTGAGACTTAATTCCTTTTATAGTGATGTATTTAACATGATAATTATTTACTTTATTATAGAAAATGAAAACTATTTATCTAATATGTATAGATACCTAGCCAAACATTCCATGTATAATTGTTGAAAATTCTAGCCCGGGTGGGAAAAAAACTTTAGAGAGAAGTGAAAGGAACACCAACTGGAACTCGCTTAAAATTTCATGTCTTCAAATCTCGTAGTGGAAAATGACGACTTTGTAATAAGTAATAACTATATATATATTCTTTCAATTGGACTCGACATAGAACTGAAAAAGTTAGTGTTCATGGTTCAATTATTAATTCTCTAGACTGTTGGTCAGTTGTGCATGGACTCGTTCATACTTGTGATTAGAATGCATAAAAATAATAGTATACTAATTAGGGTTGGACGAAGAAGGCAAAGAAAGAAATAAAGAAAGGGTTATGGAAGATGAGTGAACAATGAAACGAAGAGTAAGTAGATGATGGAAAGGTTTTGACCAATTCTTTTAGTTGACCGTCAATACAACAGTCAAATCCTTTCGCCGTTGAGTGATACAACATATTGTATGGTACAAACTAAACTTATACTTTTATGTTATGGTGGATAGAATTCATGGATTTGTTCAAAAAGATTGGTGGATTGGATTCATGAATTCAAGTGAAATCTAAACATTGAACCAATATGTAAATTTAAAAAATTGTAGGTACGAAAATCTCATAAAATTTAAATACCAAAACATAATTATTCAATGATTTTATATTAAAATTAAATATGGGTATCAAAATGTAAAATGTACATTATAGTGACTAAGTTATAATTAAATTAAATTTGGAGTATCAAAATGTAAAGTGCAAGAAGAAGTGAGGTTTAATATATATAAAGAAGAAGTTAGGTACTAAGTTGTAATTTATAAGACAACAGTAACCTCACTTCTTCTTTATATATATTAATAGTCAAAATCATACATTAAAACTTAAAAGTTTACGCTTTTATGGTTTTAGGTCACCATAAAACATCTATGTAGAATCATGCTTCTAAGTCACTGAAACGCTTCTGCATAAAATAGCCCTTTTGAACGCATTGGTCAAGCCAATAATTTGGTGGTGCAAAAACGAATTGGTGATCCCACATGATTAAGAAGACTAAAAGTTCAGCCAGAAAGGTTCCACATACAACTAATCCAATGATAAATAAATAAAAAACGATAAACCACTACATGAATAATGATGGTGTAACCAAAGGCTTGGGATCCGAAGTCAATCCTCGGACTGATCAGGCGGCCTAAAAACCAGAGGTTGTCGGGAGTTGCTTATGAGCATAATATATATAATCCACAACACGTTTATTCCAAAGGGAGGGAGAGAGATGCCCGGCTGGATACCAGGTAAAAAGTCAAAGTCGCACCATTATTAGCAAGAGAATCATCTGTGTTCCAAATACAACAGAGAACAGATAAAGAACTATGTTGTTAGTGGTTCATTTTCCATGCATAAGTAAATGTAATTTTGCAATTAAGGAGCGATTACTAGAGTAGACAAGACAAGAGTTAATCACTCTAGGCTTCAGATCAGTTCCAGGAACTGTTCAGCAGTTAAATCGACATCGACATTGGCTATGCCACAACACGGTTGTAGGTTACTCTTGCAATATGTTTGATATAATATTGTAGATATACACAAACAAAAACTTCATTGTATCCACAACATGCATACATCTTTATACTTGTTTCATCACCTAATGCCGTATTATACTCACCAATCCAGCTCTGCCTCTTGGAAAATCCAAGTCCTCCCAACCAAACATAACAGTATAATCCAGCAATTTGCCTCTACCTACAGATCTAATGATTGGTATCTTAGCAAGAAATCATAATGTGAACGTGAACTCCTGTTCAATCTGGATTTCGTAGAAGAATTAAGAAAAGCATGGAAGTATTAACAAATTGGGCGCACATCTACTTCTCAGGAATGATTCCGTTCACACAAACATGCGAAGGGAAGGAGAGTAAACGCGAATTATGCTTCACTTTAGAGAAAGACACCAGCATTTTTATGTAGATCATTTTCAATGGGGGATCTAAGATAAAGAAACAATGGAACTTGCCTAGTGTACAAGGCATTGAGGGCACAACATAATAGGCTCTGCTGCCGTTACTCTTTGTGAATATTCTGAATCGCTGCACCAATGCTTTTACAATCAAACTCCATTACCTTCGTCCAGTTCTCAAAGTCCCCAATTTCCTGTTCACATAACCCAACTTATATCATCAATTTTCATTAAAGTGAATGGGAAACAGTAAAGAGGGGAATCAAATTCCCTATGAAATGTGCAACCAACCTTGATAGCTGTGTTCATTGCATGAGTAGCTGATAGCCATTGATCGCTCTGCTTCATGAATCGAGTAATGGTGGCTGCCAACACTCGAATCTCCGACTCAATTCGCTTCTCAATTAGAAATGACTCTTCCACTCCACCATTCACAGAATCAACCAACAGATTCGACACCCTCACTGCCTTCCTGATTGCGTCTTTCTTGGCTATCTCTGGGAAAGAATCTCTGATGTGAAAATTGATTCAACCAAGAGATCAGGTGGGAGATATCAGACCTCCAAAAAGTCCAAATTCACCTGTCTGCTCGTGCAGGCGGACAGTCGCTTGTTGGTGATCTTGGACTATGTGGAGTAGAGAAGCTTCAAGAGATCCGATCTCAGGCTGGGATCTCTCCATTGCTCAAGCCTCGATCAGTGTTGCAAACCCACCTTAAACTTCCACTTCTTGTTATCGTGTTAAGGAAACTAGCAATGCTAGTATGCTACCAATAGAAAGATGGTATCAGAGTAAGGTTCAAGGTAAAAAAACAAAACAAAAAAACCTCACAGTTCAGTATCTAAAACAAAAGATCCCTCCAGATCAAATTTTATATTCATACCAAAATTGAAACTTGATACCTCCCAACATGATTATGACTAACATTCAATGTTCAACACTCATAATTGATACTTGTTCATAAGCAGGAATGCACAAATGGCCAAAATTTCACAAATACATTTGCTTCCTTCACAATTTCCAATGATTCTATGAGAAGAGTAAAGAACTAGTCAATCCATGTAATAAGCAAAGAGGAAACGAGATGGCAGGAGCATAAAGTGAAACATCTCATCGAAGAGTGAACAGCATTCTCCATTTACACCCTCAATCCATAATAATCATGAGGTGAAGACATCATTTCACAGCCAAACTCGTCCAACTACGAATCCTACAGCCCTGATACACATTGAGTCGGTCTAAGCAACGATTTCCACAGATATGAAGGGAAAGCAACGCAACAAAAGGAAGTAATCTTGATTCAAGACTTACGTCCAGAGTCCGAGTAGTCGTAATCCCTTGCTTTAAGAGACGCTTGGGCCTGGAAGAGTTGTAGTACAGTAGTAGCTATCGAGAGATAGAGAATGTCCAGAAATTGAACTAATTCAGATGGGATTCAAACGCCGGAGAAGACTGCTCGCCATGGCCTGGTCTCAGCCGCGAACAGAAGAGGAAGTTGGTAGTCAAGCGGCAGCGCCGTGGAGTCCGTTGGTCAGCGGTCGACTGGGGGAAGAGCAGAGTGCGGTGTTCCGGCGGGGCCGGTGAAATGGGGAGGTGGTTTTCTATTTATTCTTTTCTTTCTTTCTTGGAACGGGAATGTTATAGCCCAACCGGAGATACTGGGCTGGGTTTTGGATCTAGAAGCGTAGTGGACCACTAAACTTCCATGGGCCACTAGTCTGATCTCAGAAGTTGTTCATTGGGCTCCCTTCTATCCCAACTGTTTTATTTTTTATACTCTAGTTTGGCCCAAAGTTTGATGTAAGTGTTAGTTTTGACTCGAAATTTTCAATAAGACAGTTATCACCCACTTTTCAAATTAATGGACAGATTTGACCCGAAATTTTCATTGACCGTCTATATTGACGGTCAAACATTTATTTCGTTAGTGACACAGAAAAACACGACTGATGTGGCTTATGCGTGTGCCACATCACTAAATAATATAATTTAATTTAGTAATTCAAATTAAAATAAAAAATAATTACCTACAATTAAAAAGTTCCCTTTTATTATTCCAAAATTCCCAAAAGCCCAAAACTCAAACCCTAATCTAAAAACATCTCGTTCCCCTTCCAAAGTTCCTCTTTTCTTCTTCCAACCCCTTCCATGGCGCCGCCGTTCTCTAATCACCGTCACCTAATCAAAGCCCTCGTCGTCATTTTTCTTAGCTCCGTCTACATCATCGGGTTCTACCAAAACGCTCGCGGCTCAATTCCCCTCCCCTGTTCTAGCCCAAACAAGTGAAACAACAACAAAAAAGACGTTGCTTGCGTCATCCGTATCCCCGCCACCAACACCCTTGACTTCGAGTCCTACCGCCGTCCTCCGCAGCCGTGTCTGAGTTCCCTCCGTGGCCCGTGCGACCCCTCCAACTCCGTCGCGCGTCGCCCGTCTGGATCCAGAGACTATCGCGTGGTCTCCTCCGATCTCGTCCTCCTCCTTGACCTCTCTCCCACGCTCGATGTTTCGCAGTCGGAGGATGCTGAGGCGTGATCTGGAATGTGGTTCATATTAGCAGAAGCTGAGAAGTTTTTGTAGGGAAGAGGTCCGTGGGGGACGCCATTTTAGGAAGGGCAGGGCGGAGTGGTAAAAGGGGAAGGACATCGGTATCGGTCTCGTGGTGGCCGGAGAATTGGAGGGCAGAGAGGGCTTCAGCAACGGAGGTCGGAGGATTGATTTTGACGATGATGGTTGATTAAGATTAGGGTTTGGACTTGGGATTTTGGGATGATGGGATAATGGGAGGGAATTTTTTTAATTTGTTAATCTTCTTTTTTTAATTAAATGACAAAATTAAAATTATATTATTTAATGCTGTGGCACCATGTATAAGCCACATCAGCAATTTTTTCTGAGTCACTAACGGAATAATTGTTTGACTGTCAATATTAACGGTCAAAAAAAGATTAGTGTCAAATCTGTCCATTAATTTGAAAAGTAGGCCACAACTATCTTATTGAAAAATTGGGGCCATAACTAACACTTATGCCAAACTTCAGGCCAAATTAGAGTATTAACTCATTTTTATATAATAAAGCATACTTGAAAGAATCAGCGTTTCTAAAAAAAATAGCGTCAAAAATTTGATTCATCTTTAGCCAACTTCATGTTTTAATGTATATAATTCTATTAAAAATATGTCATTTCAAGGGAATTTCGTCTTTTAACCTCTCCTTTACGAAATAAAAGTGGTCTTTTAACCTCTCCTCTTCATGTCCTTTTCTCTTCTCCCACCTGTAACTCTTTACTTGGGCTTAAAAGCCTCATTTGAATAAATAAAAAATAAATAATCGACTCTCGTGGGTAATAGAGTTGTGAGTTGCATTTATTTGCACAAAGTCCGAAACAAAACAGGAACGGGGAAGAGTGTTCTGGAAAGTACTCGAATGGCTATCCTTCATCAAAACCGAAGGAACATAAACCTATCCATACTCCAGGCGGAATAGGAATTAGCTAATTCCGAAATCGCCTGTCGGTGCTATCTTTATATAAACTTCCCAAACGCACACACACTCGTCCATTCGATTTTGGATACAATGGCTGCTGCTTCAGAACCGAGCCTATGCGCCAACGGCTGCGGATTCTACGGCTCCCCTCAAACCCACAACCTCTGCTCCAAATGCTACAAGGACTCCCTGAAGAAGAATAGAAAGAAGGAGGAACAATCCACCATCCACGCCGTTTCTTTGACCGGCGCTACAGACGACGTCGTTTGTGCCCTGCCCGCCGCTAAGTCGGACTACGGCGGCTGCGGGACGAATAAAGGCAACAAGAGCCGGTGCAAGGTGCGCAACAAGAAGGTCGGCCTGCTGGGTTTCACCTGCCGCTGCGGTGACGTGTTCTGCGGGTCCCACCGATACGCCGAAGAGCACGGCTGCAGCTTCGACGTCAAGGGAATGGCACGCGAGATTTTGGCGAAGCAGAACCCGCTCTGCAAGGGTGATAAATTGGAATTCAGGATTTGAACGCGGTTTAGTGTAGTTTGGTTTATTAGATTCTTTTTCTTTACTTCCGACGATTGGTTTCCATAATTGTATTTACTTTTAATTAATCGATTCTTAATGTGTATAGTTTTTATGAATTTATCTTCGTTCTACTTTTTGACCTTACATGCGGTATGAAATAGGATTATTCAAATGGTTATCATAGTAATTAATTATCAAATCAAATAGTAATATAATATTATAACCAAACCGTCCAAACTAATACAACAACCACATTAACCAAACTCAACTTTAATAGGTTTGGCTAATTCATTAACCAAATTAATCAATATAACATTACATTCTTATAAAGTAAGAAAAAATTTCAGTCAAGGCATCAAATTATTTATATAATGAATAAGACATACAATCAACATATAATTATATTTAACTTTAACATAAACACATCCAACTACTGCAATTATCTTACGGTCAATAGAAGTAGGGTTAATATATTTGTATGACCCGAACTTTTCACATATTAAACATCCTTGCCAATCTTTTCGATCTATTACTTCGTGGCCTCAACTGTGCATCAAATTTATGAAAATGACCAAACACAAAATTTGTCTATTATCTTGGATGGTCAAACGCGTTAACTAACGGTCAACCCGCTGCATAACCGCATAGTTAGCATAAATAAAATTTAAAACTTCCTAAACTCCACATCATCCCTAATTTCAAATTTTTATATAATTAATTACATAAATAAACTAGTTATCTAATAACTATTAGTTACCAACTAAATGAAAAAAGGGTCAATGCTCCTCTCTCCCATGCACGGTGCATCCCACTCTGCTTCATCTTCTTGTTCCCCAAAATCCCCACTCTGAATCCATTCTTAATCTTCTACGGTTGCGTTCAGAGCAGGGAAATCGTTGGAGTTTCTTCCTTGGCCTAATTCAATGACCTCCACTCCACTGACTCTATCAACTCGCATCTTCTCCTACTAGCCTTCTGATTTTGGATTCATTGACAAGTTCGACGCCTTCGATTTCAGCGTCAGATTCGCCGGCCAGATCCACGATTTCTCATATGTAGGGTACATTTACGACAAGAACTACGGTTGGCTAACAGAGAGTGCCCTCTACCAGCCAGCCGAGGGGCTCGGGGTTATGCTAACAACGATTTGTGTTGTCGGAAAGTGAAAACCCTTGTGTGATTTCATTGGTTTTGGCAGCATATATAGGTGGTTCAAAGTAGCATTACAAGACAAGCTTACTTATGATGCAAGTACGAACCAAAACAGGAAAAATAGTAAAAATGTAACATTGGGATTAAAAGTGAAGTTTGGCAACTTGATGTAGTACGCTGTCGTTCCAGTTGAACGTTGTCGTTCCAGCCGAGTCTTCAGGGAGTGCCAGAAACGACGTCACTCCATTTCCTTCTTCCTTGTGTTTGATATGCGAGGGGGAAATTCAAATTTGTTGAATTATCCCCTGATACCCCCCGCAAGCTGGAGGACACAATTCGTGGACACCAAGTTTGGAGAGGAGTAAGGAAAATGTTGTCAAGGAAGCGGTTTTGTGAACAAGTCGGCGAGCTGGTGAAAGGAGGAGATGTGGAGGATCTTGATGATGTTCGCCAGGAGTTTGTCGCGGACGAAGTGGCAGTCTAGCTCGATGTGCTTCGTTCGTTCTAGGCGATGTAAATTGCGGACTGGTTGTCGCAATAGAGGTTGACTGGCTGGGGATGGGGAATGCGGAAGTCCTGGAGTAAGTAGAGCAGCCACTGAACTTCGCAAGATGTGTAAGCAAGAGCACGACACTCTGCCTCGCAAGAAGAACGAGAAATAGTGGTTTGTTTCTTGCTCTTCCAAGATATGAGGGATGAGCCGAGGTAGACACAATACCCTGTGATGGAACGTCTGGTGTTGACTCGACTCTACTGTCACCCTAGGAATTGGCCAAGTGAAACCACTTCCTAAAGCGTAGTATAGCGGGTTAGGTTTATATGTCAACCCGGGTCCTAGATTTGCTGACTACTCAATGAGTTCTTGTTATCTAGCAATAAAACTGGAGTGCAAGTCTAAACTACCAAACAAACAAAGCAAGTAAACTGGTTGTATTCAGGTTAAAGAGGTCACCCGGATATGGTTCCCCCTAGTCTGCAGTTAAGCCGGATTGTAATTACCAAGTTCAGTTTCTATGAAGATTATACTGCGGAAGGTTCTTAAACAGCCTGAAGTCTCGACTAAAGGTCTTCAGACCCTCTCAATCTGACTCTCTAGCGGGCGACTAACCTCCACCGGAGTCGACAGATTGAGGCCCTAAGAACAAAACCTCCACTACCGGAGTAAATCCGGTACAGAATAGTGAGTTGGCTCCTCGACTAAAGTCACCAACTCCCTATCTTCAATCAAGGATACTCTATTAACCTAGGCAGATATTCTCATTCTAGGTTAAAGCAGAAACAACAGGAATTTGATCAGGATTCAAGTCATTCAATCACAAAACCTCAATCGAATATAATCAATCACAGAATCAGTACTTGGGTTCATACAATCGAGGCCTAACATACAAATCTAGGGTTCTCCATACCCAGATGAATGGGAGAACTACTCCATGGAGAAGAAAGCAAAAGCAGAATCAGATGCGGAAATCATACTGTGAAGATGGATTTCTGCTCCTGGACGTTGAATCGGCACTTCTCCAAGCTCAAACCAAGCTCCAATGGTGTTGAAGATCGATCTAGGGCACTTGGAGACTCTTGTTCGTCGCTTTCTCTCTCTAGGAATCGTTCTATCTCTCCAAAACTCGAATCCCCCTCTGTTTGCTCGAATTAGGCTTTAAAATCAGTTTTCCCCGAGTTGCACGGCCAGGGTGCACGGCCGTGCACATCACCATTCTGGCCGTGCACCCTAAAACGCGCCGTTTCATTTATTCGCCTTCATCCATCTTGCACGGCCAGGCGCACGGCCGTGCAAGTCTGGCTTGTGCCCGTGCAAGCTCTCGCACCAACCCGCACGGCCAAGTTTGTATGTTGCACGGCCGTGCGGTTCTTTGCTTTGCCCGTGCAAGCTCTCGGCATGAGGCGCACGGCCATATGGTGCAAGTGCACGGCCGTGCGTCTCCATGGCCTGGCCGTGCGGCTCCCCAACAAGCTCGCCCTTCGTCCGTTTGTCGTCCAATCGACCCCAGACTCGCTCCTAAGCCTTCATCCACGTACTAGGACCTGAAATAACACAACCAAGCACAACCTAGCGTGAAAGCGGCCTAAAACACGAGAATCAACACCTCAAACGGTGTAAGTATGAGGGTAAAAACATGTGTAAATGACGGTCTATCAAACTCCCCCACACTTAACCGTTTGCTTGTCCCCAAGCAAACCAAGTCAGACACTAGGTAAGCTTACATATTTCAATCAACCAACATTGGGGACAAGTCATAAAGGCACAGAATACGTGAATCGCACTGGTTTTTCAAACATCAATACATGCCCAACCTCACTAACAACCTGGACAACCACCACAAAGGACATTCGAGTGCAGCAAATCGAGTAAAGGAAGAGTCTCCCGTCTGTTTACTAGCCAACCTAGACTTGATTCAACCACTTACTCAAAAGAGTCAACTCATGCATCCAACTCAAGACATCAGAATAGAGACCGAGCAATCTAGGTCCTCACCGGGGTACAAGAGCATATAGAAAATGAAAATGAATCACTCACTCTCGACCAGTGGGGTCAGGACAATTTTTTATGCGAAAGATGCGCATGCTATTTCTCTCAATACCTATCATCTCTTCACCATGATGGCAGCCTCTAAATGCTAGAGTTCACATGTGGGGTGTCACCACTAACTAATCAGGAGGTCTTAGACACAGGTTCAAATGACTGGCTAGGGTTTTGGACATGGGGAAAAGGCCTTTTAGGTGGTGGAAGTATTCATAGCAAAGGTTCCACATTTCCCAAACACACAAACACAGTCAACAACCCGGTATTTTCTTTCTGCTATCCTGCATTACTCAATATCCTAAGATCACAAGAGCGAAGGAGGCACAAACATCAGCGTTCCCAAGCCAGATTGCTAAGAAACACTACTTACTGGGCATTACTCAGATTTTTGGTGGTGGCTCTCTTTTGTTTTCAATTTTTTCTTTGTTTTTCTTCCATTTTTCTCTTCATTTCTTAAGAGAGCCACCACTCCTGCACATATTTCAAACATCCGCCCAACTTTTAAGCACTACCTCCAACACTCACATAGACTTTAGCAGAAACAGCAGAGAATTTATAAAAACCACACTGTGGAACCTTCTACAAGATGCAACAAGGGTGATTTTTTCCATTATAGACCAAAAGAAAGGATAACACACGGCTCAAAGGGGCTGACTAGGGGATATGACACATCAGGACAGTCAGTTTTGGGCGTGGGCTAATCCTATGCCCCCATCATTTTAGCTAGTGACAACGTGAATGCTACACATCATGGAAGAGGGATCTATCGCACAAGAAAGAAACGAGCAGGCTCAAATCTCACATGGCTACCTATATGCTCTATCTCACATTCTGATACCCTGAACTAGATGCATAAACGACTGTCAAGAGCAAGTAATCAGATCAAGTCACGGTTGGCAAGCAAACAGTTGAAAAACTGAACCCCTACATCGTTTTACTGCACATCTCAGTCCTCATCATAGGTTGTCCTAGTCGCAAACAAGTTGTCATGCATTAATTCAAAAACCAATCAATTCATCCATCAAAACACAGTGCCAATATGATCAAACAGCAGTACTTGGAGCCCTCAAATCGTAAGATTCGGACAGTGGACTAGGCTCCAAGCACACAAACAGATCTAATGCAGTCAAAAGATAAACACCCCCCCACACTTAAGATCGACATTGTCCTCAATGGAGAAGAGGAAAGGAAAGGGGAACGATGTTACCGGTATGCACAGACTGCAGGAGACTGGAAACGGACCAGGCGGGAACACAGCACAGCTCAAGGGAAACAGAAGAGCTCAACCAGAATATGTTAGGTCCGATGT